TACTGGCCCTTATATCAATAAGAATTGGCGTTAATTCAATGCTTTCACCTTTCTAATTCAGATAATGAGCGTGGTTTTCTATTAAAATCTGAAGGCCACATATGGCTTGCCTTGTGAATTAAACGATTATTTAAATTTCTATCAGAAATTTTTATTTAATATTACGCGGTCCATCTCGCCACAGAAATAAAAGTTTCCGCATCACACCTAAGCAACACAGGCATATAGTCCAGTGGAAATGCTATGTAATAAGATCGATTGGTTTAGTTTCATCAGCGGGAGTAAAGACCTTTATTGGTTATTCTTGATTGAATTTGTTGAACAAAAGATCATTAGTACGCCAAATCTCGTGCATTTAAGTCCTGAAAAATTCTACGCCCTGTGTATATAAACTCCTTTGGACATTACATTTATCACATCCATTATACTGGCATTAATGTCCTTTTACATTTTTTATGAACTCTGGCCGGTGTATCACAGCAAAAGGCCCTCAATTTGGATTTAATAAGTTTACCATTTGGTCAATTCCTGTGTTTAATTAATTGAAATTAGTTCATTACAATTTCTCCAAAAATTCTTGTAAAGGGGGCTTTTTAGAGCCACAATAAATTTGCCACAGGAAATACAACGTACTGGGCATTTATCATGCATAAAATTGGCCAAAACGATTTATTTTTACTTTTAAATACTTTGCATTCCATCATATTAAACTTGCAGCATTAAGGAAATTTGATCGGCCCCGCTTGTGCAAATAATATAAATTCTTTGCAATTTATTCCGCATTACCAAAAGTAATAAAATTGTCCTACACCCAACTCTTCTATAGCCAACGAAGCACTTATTGGCGTTTTGTAACAAAGTATCGTGCATCTTTGGCAAACTTTAATATCTGGATTTAGTGAAACCACTTCAATAATTTCAGTTATGCTATATGTGTAATGTTGTTCTTTAAAGAGACCAATTGCGTTAAAAATTGGTACCGGTTGAAATTTCAGTTTCTTCAGGTTGTGGAAATGGACTATTGGTTGAAGACGAGGCTTGAAGATAAAGAATTGCCAATCATCAATCATATGACTCCACAGATTTATCAGCAAATACACTTGCATGAATCACCTGACTTCAATTTGCATTAAAGCCGATATCATTATTAATTGTTTTTGGGTCCATTTTTTTTTTCTTAAACTGAGGGTGTTTTACATCACCGTTTCTGATACGGGCCTCATGACTCATAATTATTAGGCATCGAAATGGCATTACCTGTGAAGCATGATAGCATCTAAGTGAAGTAACAGTATATACCTATATATTATTTGCAATTACCATTACTTTACAACAGTACATTTTTTGCTAAAGCAAATGTAGGGCCATTAAATGGATCGGAAATGCTGTCCACTTCCGCTAATCTAACTTGTAGCCTCTACATTTTTCTTATAAATCTGCAGTTGTCGTTTACTAACGTTGTTTATACATTAACGAAAAAACTTATACAATGCCCAATATTGCAATAGAGAAATCAGTACATATTTAAGATAATTGAGGTTAAAAATTTCAAAAATTGCAACATTACTATTTAGGCTTTACCGCAATCAAGCATCGGCCATTTTTAAGTTGGTTAAATTACAGTCCTATACACAAGAAACCACTACTTCACTTAACTAAAAATAAAATTAAACGTAAAAATGTTAAAAATACCGGGAAAAAATGAATAAAGTTAATTAATCTCGGTTTCAGTTTCAAGCACGCGTTCTCATCACAACATAGCCAACTCTATAATTCTACAGTGGTACACAACAGTTGCATAATTAAATAAAACTAGATTGATAATAGTTATTTTCGATATACGTCTGCAAACCATCATCTAACAATGATGGTTCGATATATGGGAAACAAACATATATTTGTAAGTACGTTTATTCTACAATGGTCGCTGTATTAAAACCGATGAAGGACTTGCCCGCTGTTTAAGACTATTTACCGCTCAATCGCGACGCTTAGATGTTTGCGGAGTCCTTGTGTCCACGCAGTAGAGTTGAGATGGCCTAGCAAAGGCAATAACATGGGGCCACTCTCCGCCGCCCTTCTGGTTATTACACCACAATAATGAGGCCTATCTGCATGATAAGCCCTTTAAAGTGATGATCGGAGACCAAGGAGAACAGTTTAGAAATTGCTACAGTACCCCAGCAGATTTCAGAGGAGTTGCAACCGGGATTATCTACATTTTTTTAATAAACTGCCTTGCAAAATTTTGATCCAAGGGCAATGTACCAAGGGGTGAATTAGCCCAACTCAGGCGGGAAAAAAGTTGTGGAATTCAGATTTAAAATTGCGCGGAACTCTGGAAGACTATCTTGGTATATGCAGGAATGCAATTCATTACATCAAAAGTTTATTTTTGAAATTTTAATACCAATCTACATATTTTCTATATTCACATTGAATCAAACATTCTGAAGACGCCTATATTAAAGGGGACCTAGATGAGTTAGGCATTTAAAATTTTGCAAAAGTTTCCGCGGCGTAAGAACAGGGAATTCCATCTTTAACACGCAAGATTGGCAACACGAAACAATAGTGACCGGTTAAATTTGTTGCCCAATTATTTGTATAAAATCTATAGCGCACTGCTAAATGTAACAAAATATAGCAAATAGATAACAAAAGTACGTTTTTTTTAAATTTAGTGCCAAATAGTATCGTCGACATCTAACTGTGGTATAATAAACTGTTTGAGGCGCCGCTTAAGTGTAGGAACTAAATTATCTAACGTGTGTTAGTGTTGAAAATTGATTTCACAGAGTCCGCCACTATTTTCGAAAGCATAGTTCCCTCGTTTATTAGACCAACGTTAGAATGTCACAGGATACTGTTTTGGCAGAATTTTTAATTTAAAAAAACGTATTTTGGTGTTATCTCTATATTTTGTTTAATTTATGCATTCCTTATATTTGTACATAACTTGCGACAGATACAAACGGTTACCCAGCGTTCTCGTTTTGTCCAATTTGCATATTAAAATGATTTTCTGTTTTTTTCGCACGTAATTACGAAAAATGCAAAGGGTAATTATATAAGCGTTTTCAGAGTTGTACAGAGCATTATTAGATTTCAATTAAATATTCGTACATAGTGTATCGCTTTAAAGCATATCTTTGTTTTAGGTCCATTCCCATTGGCCAGTACACGTTTTCCACATCTCTTCTGAAACTGGCTTGTTATCACTCCTCCAGCTAGAACTGCTGGTGGCCCACAGTAGGGTTCCGGGACGAATAGGTTCTTTTGTGTATTGTGTTAGGTGGATAATCTTGGACACAAAGTGCTTAGATTCTATCGGCCGCAAGATGTTGGATTTTTTCCTTTTCCGCATCCAGGTTGGCATACCCACCAAAAACCACCCCTTTGGCCTAGCATATTTACTGGTTAAGGTGCGCGTAGCACTCCTAATGTTCTTCGTCCAGTCCTTTCGCTTTTATTACACCTTTTGTTATAAACTACTCCCCTATTGTTTCCCCATGGCTGTCTTCTCGTCTGTCTGTCTGGTCACTTACCACATTCAAGAAAGTATGTTCTACGTCGTCATAAGTATGTTGCCAAATACAAAACATATCGGCCGCCCTTTTACCGATGTACCACTCAACTCTTGTCCACGTTCATTCATTTTTTAGCGCATTTCCATAAAATTAAAAAAAAATGCGCTTTTGTGGTCACTTTGCCCGTCCGGTCCGGCTGCTATTAGTTACTACTTTTGTTACTTTAAGCTATTTTGGTTCGTTACTGTGTCAAGGGTTGTTGGTTTTATTATTAAAAAAGTTATAGCATTGTTTAGTATTTAAACAATGGTTATAGCAAAAAAAAAATTTTTCAGTACCACTGCCTTTTTTTTTGAGGCTGTGAAAAAAAATTGTCTCAGATCGGACCCGGAAAACACATTTTCTTATTAGAATTGTGGCCCTGTGAATCCTAAATTTGCAAACAGTTTCAAGATTGAGCTACTAGTTCAAAAGTTTACAAGCCCTTTTGAATTTTTTGTCGAAATTGGTTTCTAGTTATAACATTTTGATTGAGAAGTCTAATCGAAAAGTACGAATTGTTTTGGATTCTACGCCCCAAAATAATAAGAAAAAGTGTTTTCTCGAAGAAATTTGCGTTGTAGATCGATTTTGGTAAAAAAGGTAAGGTTATAACCTGCCTTTTTTTGGGGCCCGAAGGAAAAAATTGTTTCAGATCGGACCCGTAAAAACATTTTCTTTTATAGAATGGGCCTGTAGATCCATAATTTCAAAAACAGTCAAGATTGACGCTATTAGTTCAAAAGTTTACAGCCCTCTTGAATTTCTTTCGAAATTGGTTTCTAGGTTTATAAA